CTAAACACCTGAGAGGAAACACACAGACTCACAACCTGCATAAATCGTATTTGTATCACAAAGGCATTGGTAAGAAGATAGTCTAAAATATTCTGAAGAAAAAAAAAATTTATAATATTTATGCGTAAATATTTTATTCCTTCTGTCATTACTATTTTTTTTCTGAAGGCGTCATATTTGAATATTCTTCATTTGCGGCCAGGGAAGAATACCATTTAAACTTTTGGTAAAGCAGTTGGACGGTTCTGACAGCATGTTACATTTTTTCAGTGAAATATCAGTTAAAATTTCCTCTTCAAGGTGGATAATAAGAAATGAAGAAAGACGAAATAAGATAGCATAATTTCATTATAACTTCCCTTTCTCTCTTCATTGCAGACTGTGTTATTGAACGACAAATCTGAGCAATTCCTTAAAGAATAATTGAACATATTTTTCCAGGAGTTATTAACAGAATAGTATCATTGTTTTTGTTTTTTTTTTGCATATTATTTTGCTTTCTTTTATATTGTAACGAATATAAAGCACTGCTGTGGCAAAATGAAAGTGACACCGGCCATCGATGTAATAAATATATTATTGTACCGCAATGTGTAAGCGTCTTAAAGGGTTTTGAAAATCAAAATAGTACCTTGCGGGATTGCTATAAGTAGAGACATTACTCCTAAATGTAAACATGCAATCGCTTTTTATTTGTTTTTCAGGGATTTGTCACGAAACAACATCGAAAACATTTCCTTCGCGCTTTTCAAAAACGCGTCAGCTGCTCAAAATTTGTAAGTCAATTACCTTAACTCGTTTTATTCACTCTTCCTAATTACACTTTCTGGGAAAAAAAAAACACACACACACACACACACAACAACAATGCTATAGGATTGTACTGCAGAAGAGGTCTTATCTGATTAATGACAGCATAGTAATTCACGCACAGTTTCAAAGCGAGCAGGACAATCAACTAAACCACTTGAATTAGCACCATGTTTTACCTGCCTCATCCCCAGTCCCTTGCGATCACCTCTTGTGGGGATATTTAAGTTACAGATCAAGGAAAGCGGGGAGTTTTCGCTCGAATCCATCGTCTCCAACTGACCGTCGCTTCTCTCTTGTCCGCTTATAGTACATGATCCCCATTGAGCCGTGCGAAAGCTTGTGGAGGAGGCAGATGTTGTTTTTGAAAGCATTTGACGCACTAAACAGTATCATGCTGATGAGGTTTCATTAATGGGTATCGCCTCAAAATTAAACTAAACACTAATTAAGAACACTATAAAACAGTACCCTGTGCTTTCAATATGTTGCATTTGAATGGTCAATCGATTGTTTGTTGTCTTTTTGAGTCATAGACTGAAAAGGCTAGTAAGAAGACTTTTTGAGCAGCTTTCCAATTTCTCCGTAACAATGCTTGTTTGGAGTCCGTATGGAAACTGCACGTAAAACTGTTTGAACCTTGATCGCACTCAATCGTTCCGGAGGGGCAAAGGGGGGTGGTTGCAACCCTGCGTTGAATGCATATATCAATATAATACATTAGGTGTTGCGGGCAAGTGTGTGATCAAGGATTAACTGAATATTGATTAGCCAAACCTTCCAGGACCAAGAAAGCGCATATTAAGATAGGACGGAGTCAATACCCAGCGAAATCTCACTGTTTTATTATTGTTTTATCTTTAAGGACCCTTTCACACAATCTTATTGAAGTTATCCCGGGAAACATTTTTGTGAACCTCAAGTCACTCAAGTTTCTGTAAGTACAATGGTTGAGCAGCTACCATCCCCTCTCCAGTGTAGGAAGTTTGTTTTGTAATTGTAATTCACAACCTGCATTGAAAAAAAACAAAAACAAAAACAAAAACAAAACAAAACAAAACAAAACAAAACAACAACAACAAAAAAAGATGTTTGTATCGCCAAGATATTAGCTCATATTCCCCACTAAATGAATCAGAATGTATGGAATTAACCCGGAAAAGTAGAGTTATAATTAATTTTCTCTGAACGGACACCTCTATAAAGCGGACCCCTAGAGTTGTTCCCCGCCTTTCTTTACCCCTTTTAGTTGACTATCTGTAAGACGGAGACATAGAGACATGTCCTTCTTGGAGAGACTTGACTGTAGTCAAGCGTTAGGGGCCCGGAACGGAAAGGAAACCCGAGTGGTTGACGTAAAACAGTACTAAAATTTGTTTTATCTATTCACCTATTCACTATTTATTTATTTTTTTATTTATCTGTTTATTTATTCATTCATTCGTTCAATCATTAATTAATTAGTTTATTTATTTACATATTTACTGATTGGTAATAAGGACATGGAGTGTCATTGTCATTCAATTAAAAGCCATGCTATATTCTCGACTTAGTGACGTCAAGATAAATAATACCTGTATAGTGCCATTAAAAAAAAAAGAAAAAAAAAACATTCAAGCAAGCAGACAACAACAACAACAACAACAAAACGAACTAAACTACAAAATTGTTCTAGTATGGGTTATAGATATAAGGCCACTTGCATCCACTTGTTTCTTGTATTTTTATTCGTCGGGTTCAACTACGGAAAACCGTCAGTTTGAATTTAAAAGGTAGTAGAATAATTAAATTTTCAATATTGTAAATAACTTATCATGTAAGTTATCATGTATAAATCTGTCCCATATTTTATAATTGCAAGGAAGGATAATCTTAATAAAATATCCTGCGTTATCTTTCTACCTATTGTCAGTAAACAAAACAATAAGAAGATATACACTTCCACCATAAAAATCTAGAATATCGATATGTAACAATTAAAATTCATTCAACCATAACCAAACTTAAAAAAGTATGTCTTAAGATTGCTCTTAAAAAGTATGCAAGTTTGGAATATTGCGAAGCTCACGCGGAAGAGCATTCCATAACTTGGGCGTAGCCACCTGAAAGGACCTATCTCCTAGTGTGATCTTAGTTCTAAATGTTGACGATCCTTGCAAAATCCCACCTGACGATCTGAGGTTACATGTGCCTTGCGATTTCAAATAGACTAAGTTCTGAAAGTATGTAGGGACTATACCATGGATAGCCTTAAATGCAAATAACAAAATCTTAAAAAGAATGCGCTGCTTTAACGGAAGCCAATGTAGCTCATCCATCAGTGCCGGGTGTAATATGGCTGAAACGCGGAGCGCAGAAAACAAGCCTTGCTGCAGTGTTTAAAACACGCTGAACCTTGTTAAGCTGCGAGGCAGGTAGACCATACAAAAGGCTATTGCAGTAGTCAACGCGCGAAGTAACGAATGCATGCACCAAGGAATTAGTTTCCACGGGGCTTAGGACCTTGCGAATACGCCTGATGTTATGTAGATGAAAGAAAGCTGAGCTACAGAGCTTGCTAATATGAGTAGAGATACTAAGTTGAGAATCAAACCAGGAACCTAGATTCGTGACAATCTGCTTTGTGTTCACAACCGACTCACCAGCAGTAATATTATTAATGCCAACCTTAGCTAGCTGTTGCTTGGTACTAAGACGCAAAAACTAAGTCTTATCATCATTTAACATAAGTCGGTCTCTAATCATCCACTTTCTTAAATCCATGATGCAATCACACATGGCCTTTACTGCACTAGCGTCATCACCCTGCACGTTTGGACTGAACGATATCTCCTTAACAACATGACCAGGCTTAGGCGAGTTCAGAGTGCATAACACGGACGCATGATCTGGGAGATCTCGGTCAGTCACGGAAGCGCTACAGATGACAGGATCATGCTCACGAGTAATCAATAGATCAAGTGTGTGACCACTACTGATACGTGTTGGTACAGTCACATGCTGTTTAAGACCCATCGACGTTAGTAGATCTGAAAATACTTGTGCGTCCACATCACTTGCGACATCTATATGAAAATTAAAGTCACCAGCGGCTCTGGAGACAAAATGACTGACTTAAGATAGGAACTGAATTCCTCGAAGAATACACGAGGGGTGACTGGATGTTGCGGACCTGAGAGTGAGGAGGGCGATAAATGATGATCAGCTTCTCCAGTGAATTAAGGAATGGGTCCTCGTTACATGCGGGGTTTTATGACTTGATCTTGTTTTTTCCAGTATCTTCCTTTATTTTAATCTTAAACCGCTGTGTTTAAGACCAGAACCACTTTGGACCTTAAACACTCCTTTTTTTAGATCACGTGACCAGCCACGCCCATAATTATGCAAAATTTGGACTTTGCAGATTACACCAGTTTACTGAATGTGACAACAATCGTTTTTTCTTCCATAATATTTCATTTACAGGAAAATAAGCTAAATTAATCGGGGATTTGTGGAATGATCCATTCCTTCGTAATTATTAGATAATTTTCTCTCGTCCCAGTCTCCCTCTTAACAAGAAACGTTATAGTTTACAAAACGTAGATAATTTAAGAAAACCCCGATTAATTCCATAAACTTTGTGCCAATAGTCATTGACAAAAAGTGAATTAAATTACAAGTGTTATTTATAAAGTGGTGTAAATTTGGATTGAAATAAAAAGCCAAAAATGGGTGTGGCAAGTCACGTGACACAGATAATATATTAGTAATAATGAAAAATGAATGCTTATAAGGAGTAGATATTGAATTTAAAATATTAATGCGAAAGGTAAAATCCCTACTAAAACAGACCACCCCCCTCCAAATTGGCAGTGCCCCATTCCTTAATTCACCGGAGTTAGCCCTAAATGACGTATACGTGACTCTCCACTCTGAAAACTCGAATGAACATTCACATTGTGGCTGGCCTGGAAAGTGTCTTTTGTTTGTTTGTTTGTTTATTTTGTTTGTTTGTTTGTTTTTTGTTTCCATCTCCAACGTTAAGTCTCTCAGCACTTTTTCGAGGTTGCTGATCATGCTATCTAGCGATCAAACAATAAGTGCCATGACGTTTGTCATTATTATCATTGTCATTATTTTATTTTTATTCGATTACACTGAGTAATGTAAGTAATGTAAAATATATATATATACATTTCTTTTTAAAACTCAGATTTCTAGAATACAACAAGATTCAAATTATCACAGAGGACACATTCAATGGTCTGGAAAAGCTTGAATACTTGTAAGTTTTAAAACTTATACCAGGTGAATAGTTCAATGAAGTAATCAGGTGCGACTGAATACAACAGTAGCTACAATGTACTAGGTCCCTTATAAATGTCGTCTTTTTTCTCTTATTTTTTCGTCTGATTTTTTTCTTCCATAAAAAAATACCGATTTTTTCCTTAGATAAGTTCAGTTATTATTCATTCAAAATATTTCCCCGATTCCTATAGGCTGAAAGCACACCTTTAATTCACCATAACCAGGGTTAGAAATTCGTTTTTTTTTTTGTCACAAGGTAAAGATATCTTGTAGAGATGAGATCTACAAGTAAGCTAAATGGGCAAGCCACAAGACTTTAGGTTAAAGCAGAAAAAATGCACGATGAAAGTAACTGATTTATTGTTATAGTTACAACAAAAGATCAGTAACTGGTTAAACCAGTTACTGGTTATTAACCAGTTACTGATGACCAAATTTGGAAGAATTTTGTGTTTAGCGAGGAAGTGACGTCAAAAATGCAGCGTTCTTGCAGGTTAATGCACCGTTAACCGAGAAGACCTGGGGACGAGGTTGAGTCGTTTTGGTTGTGAACTTGAGAAATGGAGGACATTTCACTCGTTTCAAGAGTAAGAAATAGGCCAAAAATATAGCTAAAAACATGGCAAGAACAGCAAAAAGACAACTCAAAGGGCGACATATGTATCGAAGATGAAGTTAACATCGATCAATCGATGGAGGAAAGCATGTTTTAGCCATGTTTTTAAACTAGGAATTATTTTGAATGAATAATAAAACAATAGGTAGGTATTTTTTAGGTATTTTATTTATTTGCCACACAATTACAATAATTACTTAAAGATGCCAAAAGAAAAAAAAAATGTAGGAAGAGATGGCGAGTAGGCCTAAAAGAAACTATAGAGCTTATGTTAATTAGGCCTCCTCAATTACAATTTTTCGAAGATGGCATAAAAATTACGGCGACGGGTACGATATAATATCAGGTGAAAAATTAAACTAATCAATATTATGGAAGTTTACATGTACAAATGTTGAATATTAAAAGGCTTTTTCCCAAGATTTTTGTTGAAGTATACTAATAATTATTACAAATAAATGCCTTAAGTGCTCTTTTAAAGGAGAAAGGTGAGGAAGCGTTGATGATGTTGGTGTTTAAGGTGTTGTAAAATTTAGGTCCTTGATAAAAAAACGGAAAATTGCTTGGTTCGAGTACGACAGAAAGGCAGACGAAATTTACACGAGTTTCTTGTATTATACGAATGAATTTGACATTGTAAGGTAAATTTACAATGAAATTTTAAAGGTAGAGTATGGTTTTGATAGGAGTACATGAATAAGCCTAGTTGTATTAAGTATATATCATGAAATTTTAAGATACCAAGATTTTGAAAGATTGGATCAGTATGTGCATCGAAAGTGGTGTTAGCTATAGTTCTGATCACTCGTTTCTGTAAAATCTCAAGACGAATAAGGTTAGTTCTGTAAGTAGAGGCCCAAACTAAGTTGCAGTAAAAAAGGTATGGATAGACTAGAGAAAAATATAGTGTTCGTAAGGTTTTCGTGGATAAATAGAAACTGGATTTACGAATAATTCCTGTGCATTTAGAAACTTTATTGGCGACATGTGAGATTTCAGATTTCCAATTTAAATTTTCATCAATGATTACTCCCAGGAAAACTGTTTCTTTTACTTGATCAATTTTTTGACTATCAATTAAAAGTTGAATAGTTTGATTTGTACGCTTTTGGGATGGTTTAAATGCAATGAATTTGGTTTTTTTCAAGTTTAATGAAAGCCTGTTAGCTCTAAACCATATTGACAACTTATTTAGTTCAGCGTTCAGTATATTAGTAAGGCAGTCTTTATCCTTGTGAGACACAAATACGTTTGTATCATCGGCAAATAATATCAGTTGTAATATTGTTGACGTGTTGATTATATCGTTGATGTAGAATGAATTCGGCTTTCGTATCATATGAAGAATTGGCCTCGACGGATAACACTATCCTCGATCTCTATAATTAACAATTTTTCGCCGAAGGTGAAGTTAATATTGTTGAATAATCCCCGAGACGAAGTCAAGGGAAACCATTAAAAAACGATTAGTTCGATTGACGGGTGAATTCATGCGTGAACACGAGGCCGTAAACAGTGGATGCGCAAAAGTTAGATCTTTACAGTATCTTCAATTATGGCAAATGATAGTTTTAATCCTTTTGTATCGAGTTTTGTAAGCTTTGGCATCAACGGTTTAAAACAAAACGCCGAAATTTAAATTACTACCCAGTTCTGAGAAGAAAAGTAGAGCTTTATTTGTTTCTGTCAACTCACCGTGAATGAGAAAGTTTTCCTTGTCCCTTCTTGCAAATGCTGTCAACAGCGGCTACGATCAAGGTGAGCGTTGTTTATCTCCAAAGTTCTTTGCCTTGTTAACTTGCAGACACGAATAATTTTCGAAAATATTTGACTTCCTCTTTTCTCCATAGATTAACTTCTATTTATAGGCAAATATGGTCTTGCAAGAAAATCCCGAAATCGCAAAACAGTGCAAAGCGCCCTCGTTTACCTCTGTAGTGGTAAACATAGTTTCGAGCATACAAAAAGTCAGCTACACTAAACCACTTCACAATAAATCACGCTGTTTAAATCCCATGAAGTCTTTTCTTGCCTTCAAAGTCATCAGTACTTGGATTTTCGTGTATTTTCAAAAACGCTTTACTATAAAACTTTGGCAAAACACCCAATTCACGACAGAGATTTTGTTCTGCTTTATATTCACCTCCTAGCGCGGAGTCAGAGATAGCTAACCAATCAGATTGCTTGAATTACCAAGATCACTGAGTGTGTATATACTAATTCTTCATATGATACTCAGCCTCATTCACTAATTGTTAATTAACAATAGTCTATTTTGCACCTGCAAACGAGATTGGAGTTGATATTGTTTTGATACTACTCTCCCTGCTTTATTATCTAATGCTCATTGACTATTAATTTTTCAGCAAAATTTTCTATAAGAAAAAGAAAAAGGTTATATCAATAAAAGGTTAACCTCAGCCTCGCGTCCACTCAAACTCAAATCCTAGGGTACTAAGCCCACAACTGTAAAATGGTCTATTCTGAAATTTAGAAAAAAAAAATTGTCTTCAAATAATAGCTTGAATGCTGTTTTTTTCCCCTTCAGGAATGAATTAGAGACCGAAAACCCCATATCAAATGAGTGGTTCATTTTTCGTCCCTTTTCAATGTATTTTTGTTATCTTTATTTGTAATTGTTTTTTATTTGTTTGTTAATGCTTTTTTGTTTGTCACATATTTTTGCTGCAAGTATGAACCAGAACCTCTTCTCTTCTTAACTTGTGCAATTATTTCTTAGGTAAAATCGGTTGTCATGTTGTTACGACATGTGTTGTCATAAATGGTCATACAGAAATGTTTGTATTTTTGTAGAATAAAATGAGTTCCTAAAAAGTGGTCACGTAATTTGCGTAATCGAGGGTCTTTCAGGACCAAGTTTAGATCATTCTCTGCGATAGGCAGAGTTAATTTTCAGTGAATACATGGACTGGAGCATACATCACTATGCATAATTTATCTACAGCACTTCTAATTGTTAAGTTACATTCGTATGTAGGAATCTTGCACACAACAACCTGAGAAAATGGTACGGAACTTTGTCCAAAGATCTTCCAAAGCTTCAGTTTCTCAACATCATGGAAAACTACAAGTTCAAGATAAAAGCCAGTAAAGACAAACTTCTTGTGGACACTGCACTAAGGACAATACTGGGAATTACAACAACGTCGAAAGGTTGTGTTCAGTGTAACTATAGTCGATTAAATGTGCCGCTTGAGATACTGATACAGCCAAAAGGCTGCGAATATATACCCTCTCATAACATGCCAGCAATATATGCATTTCAGACAAAATACTGGTATTACGAAGGCACGTGCAGCGCTAACGTAAACAAAAAATGTACTGTATCTTTAATCCCAATGCACAAGGTGCGGAAAAAATATAGAAATTTTTGCTGGGATAGGGGAAGGTCTCTAAGACCAGTAGAATATTTTCTTGGGATAGTTGCATTGCTATTCAATTTTGTTGTCATAGCAACAATACTTTGTAATCGTCATTTGATTACTAAGACCTCCATGTATTTAACAGCACAACTAGCATTCGGTGACCTGTTTCTTGCAGTCTTCTCCTTGACAATAGCAAATGGCCATGGTATAATGACGGATCCTGGCATACGGCAATGGAGAGAACACCAGTGTCCCTATTTTAGGTCTTTACTTATCATAGGACAAACGTTCGAAGCTTTTACTTCAGCTGTGATGACCTTGGAACGATATTTGGTAATAGTCTATTGTATGAGACCAAATCTGCGAATTAGTTTAAGGCAATCTTGCTTTCTGAGTGTCTTTACCTGCATTTTTGCCTCGTCTGCTTGTTTTGCAATTCAGTACTTTGACGCTCCGATAATCAGAGATAACTTCATGTGTGTCCTCGTTCAAAATTTTCGAACTTCAAAACGAATATTAGCCAGTCAGGTATTAATGCTTTTGTTCGTTGGGATTTACCTTACTGTAATTGGCATGTACATTCATATTTATTTCTCTGTTCGAAAGTCAGAACAAAGTGCAGGTATCAAACGCGAAACGTCATTAGCCAAAAGGATAAGTATCATCGTGTTTTCAAACATGTTGTTGTACGCGGTTCCAAACTTAAGTATTGTGATATATAGCACAGGCAATCTCAACCTGCTGTCTGACCAGGAAATCAACTTCGTTTTGCGTCTATGGCTTCCACCAGTGTGCATGATCACCAATGCTTGTTTAAACCCATTCCTCTTTGCCTTCAGGAATGAACAGTTCTTGACTTCTCTCAGGCAGGTTGCACAGAAAATCTTCTCACCAGTATGTCCGGTGGTGAAACCACCATTTGGCAAGCCGTTTAACCAAGTAGGGTTATATGTCGTGAACAGTGGGGAGTCAGGGCAAAATTCTTCTCAGTTAACTCTTAATGAGAGTTTGTAATCGTACAAAAGTTAAAATTACTGTTATATATTTGTCAAGAACACAAAACTGCCTCGGAAGAGTATACACATAAATCCCCTTTTTTGCTTTTTTTTGCCTGTTCAATTTAGTGTTGAGTACAAGCAATTTACTATGATAATTAATGACAACACCAAGAACAAAAGAACTGGGTTGTAACATTTTTTGAGTTAAAATCTACTGATGATGTAACATTGGATTTCTTTGGATGCGAAATTTTGCCAAGCTGACAGAGAAATTTCATTAGACTCAACGAAAATTCGCGGGCTCTTCAACGAAATTGCGTGGCGAACTTTCATCAAGTTTTCGAGAGATCAAAATCCAGCGAATTTTGCTTCCATTTCTTTTATACAGTACTGTACAATTGCAAGAAGAAGAATGCCTCATTCACGCTGACGCTTTTACATCTTTTATCTTTTGTTTATTACACATTAAGCGCAAGTTACAGAGGACGTTGAAAAACACTAGAAACTCATCTTAAGGGGTTGAAACGTGTAACTCGCGTTCAATGCTCGTGAAAATTCACCTTTACCATATTTGGAAATCTTAGATAAGGATGTCTATTTTCAATAAAATGGCTGCCGCGTGATCACCATGCGGTGGTTTTAAGACCAGAGTTCTGCATTTCAAGGTTAAAAATACACCGTTAAAAGGCAAAAATGGAAAGAGAAAGTTCAAAAGAATGCTCCGTTTTCTTTTTGTGGAGGAAAGGAAGATTTTCATAGAAATGGTCCTTCGGGGAATTCAACCTTGTTCTCTTCACGGTGGAGCGCATGGCCTGTTTTGAAATGCAACCAAGGCAGCGAAGTTTTTGCTCAATTTTCAGTCACATTGTCCCCCCCCCCCCCCCCAAAAAAAAATATACAAAATGCGCCCTTATTTGAAATGGATTTTGTGTTGAATTTGCCATGTGCTCAGCCGATTTTACTTGCGTGAACGGATCCACGGTCCAGATAGTGTTACGCGAATTGCTTTAAAGGACTTGTTGCATTTAAAATAGGTGCATTAAGCGGGCGTGGGATCGTTTAATTATTAAACATGGTTGGTGTGGATAAGTGATATTTATTATATGGCTTCAATAGTACACGCGCTATGATTGGCTTGACTGCCCTTTAGAGTTGTGGGTAAAAGCTACTAGCGCGAAGGCGAAATAAACAGAATTTACGAAAAAAGTGAAATTATCTCTTCAATAACTGAAAGAAAAATACTTCTAGCATACCGATACTTTTTTAGTATCAGCAACGAATCGCGAGCAAGCTGATGTTCAAAATTACATCCGGTGTTTTTTATTGTATTCTTTTTAAAGATAGCGCTAAAAAGGCCATATAATAACTTGTTAATAACCTCGTCCGTTCGGTCATTACGGGGAAAACCTCAGACCTCGGCTTTGATGTATTCGCTCGGTCAATACATCAAGACCTCGGTCTGAGATTTCCCTGTAAATACGTCACCCTCGGTCATTATCAATAAGTGGTATACATAAATACATTCATTATTTATATTCATGAAATATATATATAGTCTCATCTGGTCCAAAACGTTTCTTAATTTACGTATCTTTAATATTTGTAGTTAACAGAGTTTGTAAATTAATCAACTTTTGAAATTGAAGGCCTTGTATAGGCTCAGTTTAAACGTCGGACTTTTCATGTACCGACGTTTGAATCAATTGAGTCCGACTTATATAATTTGGGTCGACCCATGAAATAAATTCGAGTGACACACTTGAGAGTTGAGAGTGGTGCGACACTATGTTTCAAACATCGAACTTCTCATGCGCCAAACCTAACGCATAAATTACTGTATTCTATTTTGATTGGTAAGCATTACAGTCCTTTGTATATTGTGAAAATGAATTGAGTGCGACTACTTAAGTCTACGTCTGAATCAGCCGTCGAACTTATATCATTTGGGTCGATCAAAATAGGTATTAAGTTAGACTGCAAAACAGTCGCGCGTTTTTTGGCACAAAATCAGTTTAGCGTTCAGCCTCGTTTCAGTCCCTTTGTTTGACTGTTCGCGTGCACTTAAATACGCAAAAATACGGAAATTATTGCAGTTTAAGTTCGATAAATGAAAAGTTCGACGTTTGAACTAAAACTAAGCTATTAAAAGTGATGTTACGAAAGCTGATTGTTTCATTTATCTATTTACTCTTCTCCTTATAATGTATCCATTCTAGGTAACCTTGTTTTTGTCTTACCGTAAGCTATATAAAAATGTGAAATTGTTCTCTACATGGAGTAAATTAAAGTAGTAGTTGTTGTTAATTTTGCTGTATTCTTGTATTAATTACTTAATTTACTTCTCTTATTTATTCATGATTTCTTGCGGTCTGGATTTAGCTGTAGAATCACACGCCCTTCGTCGCGAGCGGTACGGAATCTTCCCGTCCGGATCCCGATTCCTGAATTCTCGCAGCTCAAAAGGAAAAAAAAGAAAACTTTTCGCAAGCATTATCCATTCTATACAAACATGAATTCAATCCATGTCCATCCTTTCCATCTGTTACAACAGACAACAGGAAACAGGTTAGATGGCTAATTAATGAGTCCCTAAAAGGAAGGGGGGGGGGGACTGGGCAATAGAAACTATTTGTATAACAAGGACAGGGGGGTTGCACAAGTGAGAGTTACAATGATTACTCCTCCCGCTACCCCTGAAATGATTGTGAAACTAAAGAAGCAGCTAGAGTTTCATCGTCCGATTCGTTACAGCAATGTCGACTTTGAATTCGTGCTAAAACACCTTTTTTCTATTAGTCGCCGAAAAGGGTCTAGTTGTAAACACCCTTTTAGCTTCTTAGCGAAGTCAGCATGCATTGATGCTGTCATTACTATCAGCAGAAAAGTCTAGGTAACGGAAATGAGTTGTTGAGCAGTGAAGAGGGTAAAGAAGAATCAGATACCGTGTCAGATAACGAGGAGAATAGCGAGGATGATCTTGCCATTGCTGATATCTACGAACAGCCAATTGTTCAAATACCGTTTTTAACTTTTGTACCAGATGAGCAAATAGCTGAAGTCACGGTACAAGCACGCACTGAATGAAAAAACAAAAATAATTGCACTAAAAATCAAAATGGAAAAAGGAAACGGAAAGGCGGCCGATCTTAGCCCTTCCAGTATCCCGAATACCCGCTAACTACCTTATTCTCAATGCTGGTTTATCACCTGGCATCAGATACGGGTTTCAGACCAGGAAAGACATGGATCAAGGGCCCTTAGACTTCGCTTTGACGGCTTTGTTACACTGTAAGTGCATAGTAGCTTGAAATACTTCTTACAAAACAGAAAATGTACACGTCGGAAGATCAATATAGGTACAAAAACGTTAGAGGGGAGATTGCGAAAGTTATCAAGAGGAATAGGGGGCGGGGGGGGGTCACTTAACATTTTGAACGAGGGATCGGCTATATTTCGTTCCTCTAATTTCATGCGCTATAGAGTGTTTTCACTCAAGTGACTTGGTTTCCTAGCAAGCTTACTATCCGCCATATTGGTGTCCCAAGAAAGAAAGCGTGAGCTGGTCACTTATTGTATTTATAGCCTGAATTTCATCCGATTACTTCGAGTCGTTATTACTCCCTCAGTAACGTCTGAATCGACCGGCCGTTAATGCCGTCCAGTGACGTCACTACTCCTTGACCTTCGCTTTAATTCATGCAAAAAGTAAAACACGATTTTCAAGTGGAAAACAGAGAAATATCGTTTGGAAATGTCTGCATGTTACAGAATTGCTTTATTTTTTTCGATCGTAGTTCATGATTAACGTTCAAACTATCAACTGCATGCAGTACAACTCTGAACTGGTTGTACTGAATTTCATAATCAAACTCGGTCGCAATTACAAAAAACAAATAAACACACACGGAACACTAAGTTAAAAAACACAATGATTTGCTTTAATTCAAAAGAAGCTATTTGGTCCTTAACGAAGAAAAAACAAAGAAACAAGAAAGAAAAGCTAACAGAATCATTACACTTGACGGTAAAAATAGCAAGAAGGTCGAGTTATAATACTGATCTCAGAAAACTTCGCGTAAACAAAATCACAGGCCGTCGAAACCACAAAGCGGCTCCAAATGAAAAACCTACCGACTCTCCGCAATTATTCTTCATTCGCAGTTCAATTTAGCATTTCAGTTTCGAAGACGAGGGCAATTTTGCTATTTAAGATAAAGATTAAGCTTATCGAAATGTTTGAACTACACGAAAGAATGCCAGGGATGCGATCCGCTGAATATCAAGCGACAATCCCGCCAGACTTTTTCATAATTATATATAATTATGTGAATGTTTAGACAATCAACCAATCAAAATCACTACCCGGTTTTCGGGTAGTGAGTGACGTCACTGGACGGCATTAACGGCCGGAAGATTCAGACATTGTTGAGAGGAGAAAACGACTCGAAGCAATCGGATGAATTTCAGGCTATTGCCCGTGACCAAATTTCCCACGCACGATTTGGATTATCTTCCAGATGAACTAGATGCCAAGGTGCTAGGTTAAGGCCAGCGTGGAATGAATTAGCATCAATCTTTGGTTTCCCTTTGGGAATACAAAATTTTCTAACTCCATAGATAAGAGAATGGTCACTTATTCCGATGTGACAGACACCAGAATGTGTAAAAATTTCCTTGTTATTTGTTAGGAATAAATCGCGGATTTTTCAGTGATTCGGGTATGTTCATTTATCAGCTGGTGGTATTGGTAAAGGTCGCAAATTTCAAGAAGATTCTTTGTATGTGATTCTAGTGGCAGGCAGCTATATTACAATTTAAAACCCCCAAATATTTACCTCTAGCCCCACCGATTCGATTCGCTGAACGAGAAGTTCCAAATCCTTCATTGCGGCTACATGAGAACGTGGTGGTCTATACCACGTACTCACAATAAAAGATTTAGCCTTGGGTTTGATTACCTTAATGCCAATCCACTCGAGGCTTTCGCACTCGAGATCAAATAAACGTTCATAATTG